CACTGCTCTAAATGCTGCTTGCAGAGCCATCACAGGTCACCTCAAACCAACTAGAGTTGCCTTTACTTGCGTGGGCCTCCGCAAATAAGAAGGCAGGTCCTGACCCAAAAGGAAAAGCTAAAACAAGAGAGCAACCCCCTCCATCTTCTCTTCGAGAGGGAACCACCTCCAAAAAGACTCAAATCCGGACACAGGTTCCTCCATCCAGCCCCGGCCCTCAACATCAGTCCTCCTCCCAATCCAGGTCCTCAACATCAATTTTTACTCCCAATGGGTTGACCTTTGGTTGACCCATCTCCAGTGTGCTCTGCACAGAGTACCCATCACTCCGAAAGAGTGTCTTCCATCTGGCTAATGCGAGACATGGCTCTTCTGGGCTTGCCTCAACCGCCTTTGCACCGCAACAGGCTGCTGCAAGATCCTTATAGATGGACGGCTTCAACACAGAAGGAACAACTACATATGACTGCGGTGAAGAGCAGACGAACTACCCGCTGGCAAGAAGAAGATCTGTGGAATTGTCTATGTGCAGAAACTTTAGAAACCATCCACATCTTCAAAACATCATTCAAAACTCACCTCATATTGTTGGCCTTCAATTAACCACTCCAGTTGCAGACCTGCCAACCTTTACAATCGCAAAAGTGTATTCGGAGGTTCCGAAATGTGTATTGTTCAATAAAAATGTGTATTATCCCAAACAAACAGGAAAGACAAGCTTATAAGTACCTTTGCGTGACTACATACTATTTGAACTTGAATACTTCACTTATTATGGACCTTATAATTTCCTGGTGTTGCTCACAGCAGTTGCTTTCTTACATTTACGCAACAGTTCATTTTGTTGTGCACGTTGCTGCCATGGCCTGGCTGTAGCTTAGGTGTATATTTTGTTTATGAGAGAGTCTGACAGGACTGCAGTGCTGCTGTGGGTCACATTCTTCGTTTCAGCGATGTCACGGTGTTTACCGGTCATGGGATTTAGCGTAAACACAAAGAATTACAAGTAGTACTTCAACTAGCGTCGACAAAGTGTCAACAACTTGAAAATACCCTCTAAAGATTTAAAAATAGTTTTATCTAAATTTAGAGATTCTAAGACCTGTCACTGCATAAAAGAAACACCGAATTTATTTCCAGATTCACGCAGAAAAACTAAATTTTTTCGCGATGTATGGAGGCCCCCATCTTTCTTTACTCTATCATCCATGCAAAAACAAGATGGCGGCCAGTTAGGCTGCACAAGCAGGCCCGAATTTGTCGCTCAAATTTCTACCTTCGTACACGATTGGCCGCTCGTGAAGGTGAGCATGCACCAAAAATTTTGAAAATGGTGCCCCTTGTTATCGCTTATGAATATTAATTTTTAATCCCTTGGGAGATAAACTTAAAACGACTCTCCAATTACATCCCCTCTTTCCAGTGACGACATCGTATCTGGTGGTTTCTAGTCACCCCAGTTGATCAGATGGATTCATCAAAATGATAAATATTTTTTAAATGATAAAAATATTCCATTCCAAAGTAAATTTATGCAAGTTCAAATTTTTGACACACATTTGAATAAAATTGTAAATTTTTTCAGTATTTGTCGGAAAAAGTAAGGATATTTTTAAAACTGCATTTTTTACAGAAATCTACCTTCTTAAATTTGGTGAACGAGGGTCCAGTGTTCATTATTTGCACTGCAGGAAGACAGCTAAAATTTTTTTTAGTCATGAAAACTCACCCTTGAATATCATATTTTTGGTGACATTTCAATTTGAAATTGCACGTGATGCACTGTGTACCATGTCATGAAAAGTTGGAGAATTATCTACTTTGGAACTAATACTGCATGTTTCGCGAAAATGTGAAAATATGGGCTTGTTTGTTTCTGTCGGAGATCAGGAACGTTGGAATCGCCCATGGCTACAACGCTTGGCAAGCCATCTGGTGTGCCTGGAAACTGACACCCGTGGGAAGAAAGCTGACACCGGCCCTACCTTCACGAAACCGCAGCCGGCTGCCTTGTGGTTGGCTGCCGTTGAGCTGAGCTTGGGGCCCGCACCCACTGCAGTGACTGACGGATTCCTCCATGTCGTGACCATAGAAGCCCCACTTTCACAGCTCTGTATATGCTGAAGACCACATTTTACTACCTTGGCAGTCCTGGCAATACTTCAGTACTTGGTCCAGAATGATATCGTTTCGCATTGTGCGAGCCCAATTGATGTTTGGAAATGTTAAAAGGTGGGCCTAGGCTTAAATTAAATGTTTTTTGTCAATCTCGGTTGGCTGAAAAATAAGACCTGCGAAAAACGAACATGACGGATCATTTTTGTATGTGTGTGGTGAACTTTATACTGGCAAACATCTGTAATTTATTCGCATGGCCTGGCTTGTCTTGGGGTCAACAGGTGATTGTTAGTTACATTTTTGGCAGGAATTTGTTGCAGTTGATAAAGGCAGCATTTACACTTCACGTTAAACACAAAAACAATCAAAAGAAACATCTTTTCTTATTTAATTTGAATTGAAGTGATTCTGACACAAGATAAGGAATGCCATTGGAAATCTATAAATATGGAGAAACCTGCCAATTATTTTTACAACCTTTTGATAGTACATGAATGTTCACATTATATTTTTTCCAGTTGGAGCAATTACACAGATACCGTAATGCCTGAGCTGATGATTGGAATTTCAAGCATTTCAAGGATGACTCTGATGACTGCAAGGAAAGAATTAAAAATTAGTCGAAGTGAGTTGAAGCGTACAATGACGAATGACATTTATTAAGCGGCAAAGATTTATTTGAAGTTTTCAAATTATTTGATATAAAATGTAAGACTGGTGAGTATTTTGGATGTAAACCTTCAAAGCACATATGCTGTCCAAGACTCCATGTAGGTATCGCGCATGTATCTGCATTGCTGAAGTGAATCAACAGGAAAGTGTGAAAAAACAGGTGTTTCAAAAAGATTTTTTTGTGCAGAAACGAATTGTTTTGAATGCAGAATGTACCCCCAAGGTTTTGTTCATGTAATAGACCTCACAGTAAAGTTTCATGTTTTATGTACAAATTTTTTTACCCTCATTAAATGCGGTTGAGCAACAAAGCCATTACACAATTTCATAATTCAGGCATTCTATCCATACAGCTGTTGTTGAGGTCTTTGAAAATGACTACAAACGCAGGAAATCTGGACCATTTAAAGAAGTAAAGGCAGCTTAACGAAAAAACGAGATGTGTAAAACTTCTGTACTGAATTGTGATTGACATTTTCAATAAATCAACAAAACACTGAATTTTGCTTGCAGTCTAAGCTCCCTCGTTTCCTTGTTAATTAATGTTTGGTGGTTTTGTATTGTCATCATTGACAGTTCAAGACATTATTTAATGTATTCTCTTATCTAAGTGTACTTATTTCCAAGACTTTTAAGACTCTCAAAACTTAATTTAATGTTCACTGGTAACCTGTCATTGGTCTTAAGAGATTGGCAAAGCTGAAGCTACCCAAGCGACATATGCGAAGTTGCAGTTGGAGTTGCAAAAAGGAGAAAAAATAGAGGTGCGAAACAAGTGAAACACCTTTAAAAAATTGGAAAGTCTTTTTGGAATGTTTTGAGTTAAGACGGGTTGATCTATTTGAATGATTCATTATTTTAAAGTCTCCAAACAAAATGGGATGTTTGCTTTATCACGAAACCGGTAAAGTGTACGTGAATGTGGCTATTTTTCAACGCACGGGTAAGTTCCTATTCAATCACACGTGAACTTAACCTTCTAAATCCAAAATAGGCCGACGAGATCGGGCAATCTTACTTACCAAAAAATGTTAGCTTGATAGTGACAATATTAAAAAATTACATCAACTCTTGGACTACAGCAACAACCCAACAAAGTCTCCGTAAAAAATGCGGTTTGTAAATGCTAAAATTGTACTTTGAAGTTCGTTTTTTTACGCGCGGAAATGTCTACGTGCATTAACATAGTGACATCACAGTCGTGGACGAATCATATCATCTCGCGTGGTTTCAGGTTACAAAAACCTAATTACAAATGTGCATATTCAAACCGAATTGTCATGCGCGCCATTAATCATGATCGTTCGCGCGTATATCATTTTTGATAATATGATACGTTGAATATGATATGTAGGAGTTTTACTAATATTGTATATATAGAATATTTGTATAAAAATACTTGAATATTTAGTTAATGCTTTGTTGACGCCTGTTGACATTTGTTGACGCTAAACAGCACGACCCATGTTTACTGCTTTCGATATGGCGAGATACATCATAACTCCCACTATGCCAATGTATGCATGACACTGGAGTCAGAAATACACAAAGTGCAGCGAGTGTAGTTTTTACCTCCCTGGGAAGGTAATATGAACTCAAATTTCTCCGTATATTTCCTTTTGAAGCATTGCTTCCGTTTTGGGGTGTCTTTTTCAGAAGTTGAAGCAATCTTCATTCACGCAGTTTTATGATTACGTCGGGAAATTTTTGGCATGCACACAAATGTACACTCCACAATGCATGCTGATCGGTTTGGTATGTGACATTCTGATTGGTTGATACGTGCGCTACCAGGGGCATGTGTACATCGCGTACACCAATCACAAATGCTTTACTTAACGAGTTTGCGATATAAAAACGGCATGACATATGACTTAGTCTTACTCGAAGCCACTTTAGCTATTTTAGCTTAGATTTCACACTGTGCCCTCGGTTTTTCAGTCCATGTCAAAATTATCGAAATACGTATTTTATGATGATAAAAAGGTACGGTCATATTTTCATCAATTTTTCATACAAAATACGCCAAAACTGTACTGCAGTTGTTTACAGTTTTGTTATATTTGTTTGCTCTTATTATGTTCAGCATGCTGTTTTCTTTTGCTTGTTTATGTATAGGGCCTTGAGCACCTTTATGGTGGATATGTTTTGAGCTTGATAAATGTCTATTAGTATTATCATCTCAAGCAGAACAACAAAGTAGATATTACCTTGAACCACTCGTCCCTCTCTTTTTCAATGTCTGCTGCTGATACATTTGCACTTGGAATGATGCGAAAACTATATCAACACACATTGAAAAAAAAATTAATCAGTCAAATGGTGACACCATACTTGGGAAAAGAAGGTGAAAGTCATTGATTGAATGTATACTCATTAGGCATGCAACACAAAACACACAAAAAGCTGAGAAATTCCAAGCTACACAAGGCATTGTAGAAAGTATTTCAATAAGCCTTTTTGTGAGTTAACTTTGAATAAAATCTGTAAAACAGGTTTCTTCAAATTCATGTGAACATAACAATTTGAATTCCCCATACTACAGACATTGTTGCTATACCTTATGATTCAGGGCAAGCCCCACTGTGCATTGACTTGAAGAGATATATTTCATTGAAGAGCGCCCCTTTAATGTTGCATGATGTGTCACATGATGACGTAATCATCCCATGATGTTAATTTTCTTCTGAAACACTTGCCTTTCTAGCCAGCTCCCAAGTTTCAACCCAATAACTTGTAGTTCATAAGATATAGAGCTTTAAAGAGAGCATGTTTAATGTCACATGACTTGTCATCATCCCATCAGGTAAATTTTGGTGTGTAAAAGTTCCCTTTCTAGCCATCTGCCAAGTTTCAACCAATTGCACTCGTACTACATGAAAAATAGTGCTTTAAAGAGTGCACCCTTGATGACAGGTGACTTGTCACCTGATGATGTCATCATCATATCAGGTAAATTTGGGCTGAACAATTCCCTTTCCAGCTATACACAAAGTACACAAAGTTTCAACTCCATTAGAGATATATTTCTTTGAAAAGTGCCCCTTTAACCCCTTCGTGCCGGGACGCGGCTAGAAACGCCGTAAAAATTGAGGTCCTCAGCCCGCTTTTCAGCTATTATTCTCGACCCACGCTCGAGCGAACACGGTGAAAGAAGGCAGACCCTGTCTCTTGTATATATGGTAATTGGCCTTTGTGTGTAGCCCAGAAATGAAAAGACCAAATTTGCATCTTAACCACCAGCTTCACAATAGTCCCCACTTTGAAAAGAGGCAACGGGAATGTGGAAGCGTGAGTAGAGCTGCATGCCACTGAACAATCAGCCTTTTCACCATGAAATTCAAAGTGTGCAGAGCACGTAGGGTCACAAACCCAGAATTTGCGGTTTGGCAGGTGGCCTTCGTTGCCAAGCGAGGCTGGAATTCTTGGAGTCGGCTTTCGGAAAGAAATTCCCATCACGAGGGGTAAATGTCACATGACTTGTAAAATTGTAAAATTGACATCATCTGATGATGACGTCAATTTTACACTTCCCTTTCTATAGCCATCTGCCAAGTTTCAACCCAATCGAACTTGTACTTCACGAGATACAGTGCTTCAAAGGAGGCACATATAATGTCACATGATTTGTCACCTGATGACATCATCCTCACATTGCAAAAATTAAGAATAAGTAAATTAATAATCCAGTCACTGGATTCAAATAGTTAATCGCACCAGGGTCTGACCACATTCCTAAATGGTGGAATGGTCACAGGAATATTCTATTGGACTTTAAAAGTTCATGAATTTCATCCCTCATTGGATTCTAAGCTTTGTATTGCCAGGGCATGGGCGAGGCCAGTCCCTCGTTAAGGTCGGCGACCATTTAGACCCGGTTTGAAAAGGGCCCCCCGGTAGCCTGTCTTTTCACACTGGAACACTTGTAAGTGCGCTACAATGACGATCAATCTAGACACGTAAACCACACCATGACTGCAAAATCTGACTTGCAGGAATTGGCCCAACTGTTACCATGGGCCCACTGTAGCCAGTGCGTTGACAGGCCAACTGATGGCTCTTTGCGGTGGCTGCGGCAATGCATTGGAGATCTTTGTGTATGCCGCACACGCCACACGTATGGAAGTTAAGTCTGGCCCAACTGCTTGCGCTCACCCGTGCGATGGTTGCCTAATTAGAGCCACAAGCCACAGCATGCTCAGGCGCAGTGGAACAACCACGTGACTGCAACGCAGAGCTTTTGCATAGCCAAATCTCACTCCCAAAAATAAACAAAAGTTTGAAAATAAACAACGAAGAACAAACAATAAAAACAGACACCAATAGCATTTTTGTTTTTACAAAATTTTATTGAAGTGCAAAAAGGTGCGCCCTCATGTGATGAAAAAAGTCGTCTGACTCTTCGGGAAACCCTGCCTGAGTAAGCATGTGCAAGGCGCTGCGTTGCGGGCAGTATCAGAAACGGGACCAGCACAATGCGTCACACATTCACAACGCAAAAGAACGATTTGCCACACAAAGTACACAATTTAAATGATTTACAGTACATTATTTTATAGCCGGGGTGACCTAACTTATTTTATAGCCGGGGTGACCGAACTTATCAAAGCCTGGAATAAAAGTACGAGCTCCTGAGAGCTGCTGGGCACTGCCAATCAATCCCTGTATTCTTTCAGCGCAGAGCGCTGCAATTAGCGGAGGTAATCCGTGTATTGTTTTGCAGAGCGCATTTGTTTGCGCTGCCGGGCGCTCACAGGGGATTATTGCTGCACTGCACCGAAGACAACGCACAGGCTGTGCGGGCTCATTATGCACCTGCGCCCCATGAATGACCCGGCCCGGACACTGCTGGCCCTTGCCACATTGACTGATAGGGCACGGCCCTCACTGCTTGAGAATAAAAACGCTGTGCAGTGTTCACATGTGTTCATATTGGGTATCGTGTTATTTAGAGTACAGACAACATGGCTGAAGTTATATCCGGAGAGTCCAGTTCTTCCAGTGAAAGCGAGTTTTATCTGAGTTCAGACGAAGTTTCTTCGTCTTTTTCATCACCGCCGTCGCCTGCTCAAGTACAATCAAGTACAGAAATTGACAGTGATGTACCCTTGGTGGTATATGCCAAGCGCAAGAGACAGTCCCTTACACAGACCGCCACGTCGACCAGCAGCAGTGCCGCACTGTTCCGGTGGACAGATGAAGACAGTACACCACTGAAGTACGGCTTCACCGGTAATGGTGGTGCCGTCGATCCCCGCCTGCATCGCAGCTTGACCTGCAGTGAAGCCTTTGAGCTGTTTTTTGATGACGTTCTCTACAACAAGATAATGCAAGAGACCAACCGGTATGCCGTGCAGAGGCCCGCTACGACTTCAGCGCACATGCGATCATGGACTGAAGTGGTTAAGGTAACTGTGTATCAGCATATAGGTACGTGTTATGATACACATCGTAATAATGACTTAACTTCAAAAGAAATCGGGAACTTCTTTTAATCACTTGCTTCCGGGTGCTTTTTTTTAACCGTTATATGTGCTGCCGGGC